ATAATAATTATAGGCGAGCCAGGGGATAGGCCATGCTCGAACACGAGGGCACGACTTTCTGTCTGCACCAGCCCTATGCCACCCAATTCGCCATCCCAATCCGAGACTCTCTTCGGTATCCCTCCTGTATATGTATATATATATATGTGTGTGTGTACACGCATGTGTACTTGTTAATTTGTTTATGTATGTCCATGTGTTTTAAATGTATGTCCCATACGCTAGGGGACACAAGTTACATATAGATATGTATATATGTATATGTGCGTGTATACATCCCCCAATGTATACAAAGATATACGTGTGTAAGTACTATCTTGGGACCATCTGCTATGGATCTCAGACTCTCGCTGCTGCATCAGGGTGGTTGAAGGTCACAAAGGCAAAGCCTTTGCTACTTCTTGCCTCGGGAAACAGCAGTGTCTCTTTCAATTCATCACTTGTGGGCTATCTTATGCTAACGGGGTAGGGGATCTTTTCGCGTGTATAGTGCTGAGTAGTGATCAGTGGACCGGATCATCAGCGGTAGGACATGCCCGGAGCATTAAACATGTTGCACAAGAAACGAAACGATGTCACACCTGCTCGGACTCAGGAACTTCGCCCTGCTCTTTTGAAGGACAACATGCCAAGAGTCCGGCAGCATCTGTCGCCAGCTTTGCTTCTTGCACCGTGAACTGCTGCGGAAGGGCATCATTGAATGCCTCGTGCAAATGCCAAACACAGCAGCAGCTTCCAAAAATGCAATGAGACTCACAAAGCTTTAACGCGCTGCATCCCGCGTTTAATGCCTGAAGGTCAACTGTAACTGTAAACGAGCTAGAAAGTCGCGGATTCCATCATAGGTTCTGGTACATTACAAAGCCAGAGATACTCAAAAATCACTTCCCACAAAAGCGCTATGTTTGCCACAAAAGTAAGGTTGGTGAGGCAGCGAAGGGCCCTCTAGAAACATGATGTCGGGCGAAAGCAGCGCCAGACAGGAGCAGGCCTCCCGTATCCTTTCCTCCGTGGTATACCTGCAAATCTGCCGCGTGATCAGGGGCGAAGCAGCACACAAGCAGCTCTGCTTGAAATGTAGAAAACTAGGCAGCAATGTCAGCATCTTAGTTCTGTACGTGGTGATGTTTTTCACCTCAGCTCGTCAACAAGCTGCCATCATGAGCAATCGAGCCCCGTCCTGTGTTGGCATGCGCTGAAAGGGCCCTTCAGATGAGCCGTCTTGTACAAGGACTCAGGTCTTGCCAACTTGCTTCAAACTTCAAAAGCCTCACACAACACCACTGTGAGATGCATGATCACTCACTGCCAGAGATTTAAAGCCCTGACGCCAAACGCAACAAGACTAGGCAAGGAAGAAATGCAGCTGAGAGTTTGGCACGCACTTTCCTGTCCTCCAAGGGACCCACACACCGATCTTCTGCGACCTTGGCCAGACGTGGGTCGCAGTTTGGGTGCTCAAATGTCCTATCAGAATATGTTGAACGATTTTGTTGACCGGCAGGTTCCGTGCCCGCTTTGGCGGCCAAAGCTAATACTCATCACGGGGTCTTTGCATGCAGGTCACCCAAGCAAGCCTCGAACATGCAGGTGACCATCTTCTCAGACTGAATATGTCATATGTTGGCACATGCCAAATGTAAAGGCCCCTGGGGTGGCTCGCTGGTTACATTGACCGGGGACAAACCTGACAAATCGTGTGAGCCTGCAGGGGGGTTCCGAAAACTGGTGCAACCCTTTTCAGAAACGGGCATCTGAATTCTCCCATGTCGGGCTCCAGAGTGTGAAGCTGATTCCCTCTGAGCTTTCAACGGGTCGCCGAGGCGGACGCCTGAGGCAATACTCTGGATCAGGCATGTACTTGCTCCCATCTCTCCTTGGCAATGAAAAGCCCCCTCCCGCCTACTTGCTTGACTCATAACGGAATATTGAGCACAGTCAGAGGAGTGATATGTCTCAATGCTTGAGCGGGCCTCGCAGAACTTCGTTGAGACTGCTGCTGGGCGTCGTGTCCTGCCCAGGTAGGTTACTCCGTTACGCAGGAAGATGACTGAAAGCTAAGATTCGTATGAAGGGCCCGTCCCGGTCCTGGACCTGCCCAGCTATCTTGAGGCTCGCGACAGCGCTGTCGCGGGTTATCCTGCACATTGGATGTCGATTCCGAGCATACCAGCAATCAGCTGGAGAGGCTGAATTGCCATGCTTAAACTAGAATCTTACATGTACCCGTTGACCCTACTGAGCTTCCCAGCGTAGCCGGCATTCACCCTCATCGGCTCTTGCCTCCAGCGCGGACAGTCAGTCTACACTTCCTGTTTCACGTGAAGGGTCACCCGAGTATCTTGCACAGCTTAGCGCAGCTTGGTGTTGTCTTCACTTGGCAGGTATACTTGTGGTTTTGACTCGCATGCCTGCCTCAAACTGCAATGGAGCTGTGTTGCTGATGCGTGCCCAAGCTGGTAAAACCTTAAACGAGGAGTCGACCGAGCCGATCATAAAGTGCGGCACCACTTCTACCAGCACTTCTACTTTGACTTCTGCTGCTACTCCTGATCCTCCTCTTGCTACTCCTCCTTCTTGTTATTCTTCTACTTCTGCTTCTACGTCTACCTCCGCTACTACTTATATAAAATTCTTACATGAGTACCTCTTCCCTTACTCCTGCTCCAGATGGTTCCAATCACTTGTCAGCACCTTGCAGGCTGCCGTGGCGCTTCTGGAAGCTGCCTGTGCAGAAGGCTTACAAGTTTAGAAGGATGTGCGTCAGGGATGACACTTTAGGGTTTTAGGCTCAGGATTTATTGCAAGGTCCAGGGTTTAGCACGGCTTCTCGGAACAGCAAGGCCCTTTTTGGATCCTACTCTTCCCGGCCACATTTAACAGAGCTTTTTCAAAGCCTGTATCCTCACGTTGCTCCACACGTCCATCTCAATCTCAGCCAGAGGTGATCTGAACTCCTCAACCTTCCTCCCAAACCCTGTCTTGCTTTTAAACTCGACCCCCAACCAGGAAGGTCAGCACGGCCCTTGGAGGAAGCTGCGCCTTGCTGCCGGGGCAGGGGCGTAGGCACTTCGCTGAACTGGTGGCGCCTGCAGAGCACACAAGGCCTGCATTGCTTGATGCTAGCATCGATAACACAGGGTTGGTGGATTGGTCGCTATCGGGGGCAAGCATCAGTCTTCGGCCTGGGCCACGCCGTTCAACCATCGGCTCGTGTCGGATTGTCCCCAGAGATCTGGGCTGCTCATGTGTGAACCTCAGGTTTCTGGTCGTAAGAACCATGTTATCTGGTGCAGTCACCTTACCCATGCCCTTGTTGCCGCCTCCCCTCTTGCCAGCAGAACATGCCGAACCTACATGCGCATGACAATTCCACGAGGGGAGTGGTGTCTCTGCGATACCAGAAAGGGATGCGCTGCAATCTGACACAGGAGCAAGAAGGCCTCCAAGGAATCCCCAAGAAGCTCGAAATTCGAGGGCCCTGGTGACGGCCCATAGTAATTCAATCAGGCCTCTGTTGCTGTGTGTCCCGGCAGTCTAATGGGCCACAGCGAGCGCAAGGAGGGACAGCAGTGAAAGTCACTTGCCTTCTGTCAAAACCTTTCCATGCAATTACGGCTTGCGGACACCGCGGAGCCCCGAGACCCACACAAACAGGGGCGGTGTGCAGTCATGTGGCAGTCATACATCGCTTTCAACGCCGCTACACTGCAAGGACGATTGTCTGTCAGATCCTGTTGGAGTAAGCGCCAAAGGAGGATCTCAGCCAGAATTGGTGATAGCAGCTAGCATTGATGACAAGAGCTCTGATGATGCAACAATGAGCTTTTATGGCCAGCCAGGAAGCCAAGACTGTCGTTGAAGGTGTGGCTGAAGAATGATTGGCAGTATTCGTCGCCAGGTTTCCTCTGATTCCTCCTGCCACCGCGGACCTGCCGTTGCGTGGCTAGTGCTTTTATGCAAGAACTACGAATGCTACCTGTACTGTACAAATCATCTCTTGACAAGCTGCCAGAAGTACTGCTATGAACTGCTGCGACATTCCCAGCATCACTACCAGCTTACTCTCTCTGCCCGTATCTGCCCCCTTGCTGCCGTTGCTTGCAGCAAGAGACTTGCAATTGGTCATTGTCTCAAACCGGAAGGCATCCAGCCTCTTGCCAGTCATCCGACACACCTCCATTCATAGGCTGCCCTGGTCACGGACAGCATTATTGGCAGCATGTCTTCGATCACACATGGATGTTGTAACCCTCCAATTTTCTGAATTGAAACCATCACGCCTAAACTTCTGAAGATGCGTTTCCCTCGCGCACCATAAGGCGAGACGGTACAGAATGTTGCATGAGAAGAGAGGCCTCCGTACATGGTGCCCACAGATGATGAGGCACTCTGAGTACACGGAGCTGATAAACGACAAGCTTGATCTCCAAATGGCTCAATGCAGCAAACATGTCTGCCAAGAACAGCTGCTGACTCGTAGACATCCTGACAGTATCTCTGAATGTCTTACTGCCGCGAAATCTACTGGAACCCCTCCTGGCTCCCTGGCTGCTCGACATCTTGGTTAAAACTCAGTGCGTTGTGTCATCCAGTTTGCAGTCATGCAGTGGCGCGGCCGCAGGCAGCAGGTCTCCCTGGCTGACTACAGCGTGACTAAGGTCTCAAGATCTCAAATCAATGGCAGGTATTTCAGATCAGGATGTCCTGCTGCCTTGGCAAATGTCGCCAAACGACCAGCGGCAAAAAGGTGAAAGTTCAAACCATTGGCATGCGGGACTGTTTGTCCCCTCCTAGCATAGTCTTGGAACGGATTCGTGGACCGCATGGCTCTGTCTTACGTCCTTGCTTTAGCGCAAGCCCTGCGGGAGCTCTACTCCCCCGCATGGGCTTTCCTGCTATCCGTTCCTACGCGTGACTGGATAGCTAGACATGAAACCCTCTGTCTTCGAGACGGGTTGTGCACATCCAAAAAGAAGCTCTCGAAATTCGAAAGCATCTCACTGCACTGTGCATGCCTCACAGCCGCAGTGTCCAGCCTTCTCTGTCGCAAAAGACTTCCTTAGAGACAATTTTGAGCCCGACGATGCGTAGCTGGTGCTACATGGAGCACGCCTGCAAATTTTTGTGGCAGCACCGAAACACATCTTAAAGTCACGTCGGCAACAACGTTCAAGAAGCCCTGAAAACCCAAACTCATGAGGCGAGCAACGCTTCTTCGAAGGTGATCTTGCCATCGCCGTCCTTGTCCACACTCTTGTGTAAGTCTTTTGCTGCCTGGGCAACTGGATCCACCACTACATTCCCGTTCATAGAGAGCGGTTGACTTTGGATGTTTACCTTGCACTGAGACAAGCCAAGCCCGTGATTGTTGTCAAGGCACCTTTCGGCCCCTATTCTCTATTACTCATCCAACACCGTGATGCACTTGATGCACCCCACAGTGTCGAACACGCGTGCGATGGGAAAGCGTATCCTGCCTGCAAAGCCTTCTCGTGGGTGGTGCGGAGCTGCTCTTTGAGGTACAGCTTCCTTGGGAAACGCAATGCAAATGGGCCCACGTTGGGCAGAAAGCATTTTCGTAGAAAACACAAGGGCAACGGCTTGGCAACGGCTCATCCTGCGGTCGACAGTTTCCAGCTGAAGCAGATGGAGCTTGAACGCGGAACATGCAAAAGCACCAACAAGCGATGCACTTCAGCCAAGGTCAGCTACAACTTGCCACAGAACGATTGGAGTGCTTACAAACATGTGGGCGTACAGGCATGCTAAAGTAGAGCAGGATGCAATCCTAAAGGGCAGAAAGAGGCCACACATGCCACCAAGTCAGGTTGGGTGTCATCTCCGCTGCGCTGACTGCACCGTCGCCATCAGCATCCGCATCCTGCCACGGTTTGAGCATGTGGCTGTCCCCTTGCCCCTGTCGTTGACCGCTCTCAATAAAAAAAAAAAAAAAAAAGCTTTGAAGGTTAGCCGCTGAATAGTCAAAGCCATAATTTCCAGAAGTGTTTGGCTTACAGTGCTGGGCATGCGAAACAGATGACTTCCAAGGAAACGCGGTGCTGCTCGCATTCGGAAAGCCTGTGAGTAAGGTACCTAATTGTGAGCGGACCTGGCAGGCTTGCGGATCAAGAGAACCCTTCGTCTGCTCTCACTACTAGAAGGCGACTTATCGAGTCTGAGAGACAACCAGCACAGCAAGAAAAAGATTGCCCTGGCCACCAATGCGACGGGCCTTGTGGATCTCGGCTGCCTTGTCCTTTGCAGCCTTGCCAAACTTGCATTTTGACGAAATATGCACTGCTGGCAGAAGCTCCGAACCATCAAGCCTTACATTTAGCTCTTCGTTGTCGGAAACGTACTGTTTTGGTTTCCGGGACATGGCAGAGTCACGGAGAGCACGCTAGAGCTTTAAGGAGCATTGTTGTGGACGTGTGTGGAACTCATGTGACACATCCTGACACAGCATAACAGCAGAGCTGTGCCGAACGACCTGGTGGAGTTCTCCTGCTTTGGCCTTGATGGCAACCTTGGCAGCAATGTCTCCGATCAGGCTTCTCGACATTCAACAGTGCATGCCTTTGCCATGTATTTCCTTTCCTTGAAGCAGGGTTGAACGGCCACGAGTTTGTTCATCTGTCACTCATGTCTGAGTACTAGCCTGCGGCACGAGGATCGGAATAAGAAAGGTAATTGTGCTTTCTCACTGCAAATGACCAGAAACATCGTTTCCAACTCCTGACCGCTTCATGATGCTGCTATTGCAACGTCCAAGCCACGGCAGCTGCAAAAGCCTTCTCTCGAACCTTGTACTCCTCGTCAAAGCGGCCGGCAGCCAGCATCACTTCCTTCATGGGCCGTCAGAATATACTCGCCGCCCTGATGCGATATGATATCCTGCACCAATAATCCCAGCAGATCTTAATGACCTATCCAGCCCGTCCCTCCTTGGCACCGGCGGAGACCGTGCCGCTGATGTTGTACTTTGCATCGAACTCTCCAGCCTGGACTCATGGCATCTATGTTTGCTGCACACTTCATGTTGGGCAGGCCCAGGCAGGCCTTGGCCCTGGCCATGACTGCTGCTTTGTCAGCGATCTCCTTGCCTGAGGCGCGGCGTGTCATGGGCAAAAGGCTAGATTTGTCATGAGCTTGTTTCGTGATCCTCGTACTAGTACTCCTGGCACTGGCAGTACTGGCAAGTGTGGTAGCAGCAGTAAAGGAAGCAACAGCTAAGAGGTGGCGGTGGGGGTGGCGGCAGGTAGTGGCAGTGGCGGCGGCAACGCCGCAGCCGCGGCCAGCATTGCCGGTGGTGCCGGCGCAGGCGCAGGCAGCGGCTCGGCGCTGCTGCTGCTGCTGCTGCTGCTGCTGCTGCTGCTGCTGCCGGCAGCGGCGGCGGTGGTGGTGGTGACAGTAGCAGCGGCGGCAGCAGCAGCAG